TTTTTTTTTTTTTTTTTTTTTTTTTTTTTTTAAAGAATGACAATGAAAATGGGTTATTTGTTTATGTGTGTGTGTTTTTTTTTGGTCTTTCTTTTTATAAAAATTAATTCTTTCTCCGAACGATCTATACGAATTAAGAAATAATTTCGTATCGTATTGCTGTGTGAGAGAGAGAGAGAAAGAGAGAGAGATAGATTATAAGAGCGAAACATAAAAAATATTCACATAGATTTCAGATACAAACAACTATATAAAATAAATTTTCTTTTTTTTTCTTTTCTTTTTGCTAGATATGATGATGGAGCAGCACGTGTGGACAGTTTTATTAATTAGATTCTAACGGACTTTGCCAATAGTGCGACTGCATGGACAATCGTTTATTATTGCTTGGTTTCAAAGGCGTCGTGCACTGCACAGCGTCTGGAAATCTTTTGTAATATCGTTCAAGTCGTAAATATTTGACGGTTACCAAATGACCTTAAAAAAAAATAAAACATATACATTATTAATAATATATCATTTGTAAATGTGAATAAATAATTATATTAACCCTTTCGCTACGGGGCGGATCTCCGCCACGGTACTCCCGCAGTACAGCGCGCTACACCGAAACAGTGCAAGGTGCACGCAACGTTCATGCCGGTGTCGTAAGACTTATGATCGAGGTATTTGGTTTATTATTGAAGCCCGTAAAAAACAAATGATGCAAAACGAAAGACTCACGCGGTATGTCTAGAGTGAGATACTCTGTGCATAGCAACTGCAGGCGCTTATCATATATACAATTACGCGACATCTTTAGTGGGAGCGACTATAGCCGCTCGTAGTATCTCAGCGGCATCACATGGAAAGCGACTATAGTCGCTCGTAGTATCGAAAGGGTTAATTTTTGTTCTATAAATTTCTTACCGTCAAACCACCAGCCATGTAACGCTCTGTAAGCTTTGCCAGCATCTTTCTGCGATGTGCACTTCATATAAACGCAACCTTCCCTGCTACCACGATCTACTCGAATATGAAGTATCTGTACACCCTCTCCGCACTTTTCTAAAATGGCATCTTGTATTTTGATCTCCCAGTTGTCGTCATTTTCACTATATACGCGTAACATTGTACATATATACATATACATATATACACACGCAGAGGATTAGAAGACATATATATATATATAGTCTAAAAAAAGACGTACAAAATGATACATACGCATCTGGATCGAACATATGTCTTATTTTTAAGCAAGGGGTTGGCGAACAAGTTAAACTATTAACCGATCCTTCCATAGTCTCAAATGCTTGTCCTTGCCATACTTTGGATTTTTTATTCAACGACGGACTTTGCGTACTAGACGCGTTAAGAGTATTATTAGGTAACCAACGCCATACTTGAAATTCTTCACCAGCAACTTGTTGCACTTCTCTTCGAATTCTACAATTAAACAATAATTTATTTTACAATACGTACACACAAATAGATTGTTATATATATATATATATATATAGAAAAGTATTATATAATTCTACCTAGATTCATTCTCGTCTAAGAATTTAACAGCCTTCTCCCATAAAGCAGACATTTTTTTACGATCCTTAGGTAAAATCAAATTATCTCGCACATGATTGATCACGAGAAATGTATCTTGCGTCGAAACGGGGGTCGATAATCCAACATTTTGATGATGTTGTTCAATAACATTAATTATTTCGCTAACTAACTTAAATAATTCTCTTTCCATTGATTGTTGATATCTTTTATACCAAACGTATGATTTCTGCGTTCCGATAACTGCTAAAATGCCTACGAATATATCATATAAGTATCATATATATATATATCTAAATAATATCTATAAATATATCCACCATTTGGATAATTCAACAAAAACAAAACAAAAAGAACGTCTATATTTAATCAACACGATAATGATCATCAACGTTAATGCAAAATATTTATATCTCATGCAGTATAATAACTTTGTTTGTTTGTTTGTTTTTTTAGGTTACATATAAAATAATAAATTCATTTTTTAGATGCTTTCTTCGAATAAACTATCTGTCAGGAATTTACCAAGGGAGATTATCAGGAGAGTTGAAAAAATGGTGAATAACTTATTCTTGATATGACATTGCAAAGGTCGGTCCGGATTTAATATAACCATTCCAATTTTTCCATTTATACGGGCTGTAAATATACTATCCTGTAACAAAACATGCTGTAGTTTTTCTTTTGCCTATATCCTATTATTTTAAATATTATATTAATGGAATGTATATGTATATATATATAGTAAAAAAAACTGTAAGAAATAAGTGAACATTTAAAAAGAATTTACCAACGAATTTAATACTTCTCCAGAAGCCTTATCCCCATCGCTTACGTCAATTAGTGAAATACCCCATTGAGGATTCCTAATAATAAGAAGTTGTGCATTTTGTAAATCTTCTTTCACATCTAGAGGTGTCTGTAAGATTGACTTGTATCATATATTTTAAATACGTTGTATGCGTTAAAACAATGTCAGAAACATACCACTTTAGTGTTTGAAAACATATCCATTATTTGTGAATCCGTTAAATATGGTATATCACTGGAATTGTCACATTCCACGGATATTGCTTTTTTCAATAAAATTGGTTGAAGTCGTTTTAATAATGATAATACGGATTCTACATTTTCTTTCATAACACAATTAACTCCTGGTGCTTTGAGATCGGGCGTTCCCATAAAACACAGCGGTATATCGCTATCTACAAATTCATAAAATGTTAATTCTTTACAGATTATTATTATTATATATATATGTATAAGAAGATTCTATATCGTTGTTTTTTTATATTGTTTTTTTTATTCTATTAAAAAGTAACTTTATTTAAAAGTTCTGCTTTATTTTATTTTATTTTTTTTTTGTTCAACAAACTCTTTTAATGTAATAATAACTCGATCTTAAAATAAAATATATTGAAATAATGGGAATAGGAAATAATGTAAAAAAACTGATAATATAATCAACCCATTTATTAGACATTTTTAAAAAGCATGTACATTAATGAATTTAAAAACATTTAAGTAAAACTTCAATGCAATCTTTGAAATAAATTAAAATAAAAAAAAAGAAAAAGAAAAAATAAAAAACACAAGAATAATCAGACGACATTACGTTACTTTTTTTTTTTTTACTTCTGTTTCTGTATCATATTAGTAAAATAGAAGATATAAAAGTTAATTTGTTTTCATCTTCTAGCAATAATATTATAAAAATAAAATGATACCTTAAAGAGATCATTATTATTATTATTATTATTATTTTATTTCTGCATACCTACCCATTGATAATGATGGGAAAGTTTCACTTTTACCACCCAGTCCCAAGTATATTATTGCGAGGACTGCAAAAAATAATGCAAGTACCACAACTAGGAAGACGGAAATCATATTTTGGTTGTTACGTAAATCTTCCTTATTTGAACTGGACTTGAACTTTTTGCCAATAGTTTTACGAGATTTGTCGTTAATTGCATCGACCGTTCTTAAACTGTAGAAAAATTGTCAATGTTAATTTGTATATAATCGATATTTCAAATAGTATATATATTATATTATTTTCTACATACCCTGTAGGCAAAGTTGAACATAACGATTTTAAAGAAGAAAAATGATTAAATTCCTTCTTATACTTGTCTACAGAAACAGTAGGTGTATCTCGCATTACAGAACCTGCAAATGAAAATATGTTAAAACTACGTTTCATTATATAGTTATTAATAACTTACTATTTATCGTAGAGAGAGAAGTAGAAGGGCTATCCAACGTTGTTCTAGAACTGAGCCTTCGTGTAAATTCTGATAAAAATGGTGTATCATAATTCGAAAGTAAATCTTTCGAGTCTCTTAAATTAGTATCATCTTTAATCGGTGATGACTTTTTATAAGAAGGTTCGACATACTTATTATCTTTAAGAGTATGAACAGGTCTTAACTTTGATTCGTATAATAATTTTGATGATTGTTCATCTCCAATGGTAGTATGTTCATTATGTAATTTAGAACCGTAAAACTTTCCGACATTAGTTAAATATCTACTACGTACATAATTAGAATCGTTCTCTTCTCTAACATCAGAATCAGAGCCAGTTTCTAATCCATCAGACCGATTGGCTGAATTATAAATCTTTGTATGTTTCTTTTGTATATTTGTGGTTACGTTACGACTGGAAAATGTTGATGAACCAACCGGCTCCGGCATAACATTATCAACTATTTCTACATTAGGATCTTTCATGAAATTTTTCGTTTCGGAAGGTACTGGTATCGTAGAAGATGGCGGAGGCATAGGATTGGCCAAAGTTTGTCGACGAGTATTAGATGATGTTTTTTTGTTTCTTTTAACGACGGTTGAAGTGGTGTCCTCATCCGTCTCATCGCTGCTGTATCTGTAAATGAATTATATACATATATATACATATATTCAATATAATATAAATATCTTCATATGAGATCTTAGTCAATTTCTATAATTAACATTATGATAATTAATATAAATAAAAATTGAGTGTAACGTATATATATATGTGTATGTATATATAAATACCTTGCAGCTAATGAATGACGCGTTCCGGCAAGACCTCGGGTTTCAATAAGAGTTTTTAATTTCTTAGCAAGTATTTTTCTGGTTGTCTGTGTTACAGGTCCTACCGGGTATCCATATTCCATCAGCTTGGTACGTAATTCTGCATCACTGAGATTATCTACCGACATTTTGTTTACCAATACCATACTGAAATATTTAAACAATTTTCGATCTTAACGGGTCAAATTTAACGCACGATAAATGAACAAGAATGAAGAAATTCAATTATTCTGTATTGCCAATAATTTGTTTATCTTTTGGCTACTTTTAATTGACCTAGTTTAATCGTGCAACACACATACGTTATAAAACTTTATTAAACGTCGTATATTTCGTCAATCTTCTTCGTGAAATAGAAATATTTAAGAAAGATTTCTTTAATATATATATATATTCACACGCACCACACACAGTTTCGGAAAACAATTCACTCGTGAACTAAAACATGGCGCAATTTTCTAACGGCCATAGTTTTATACGCATCAACCGAAGGCGTTCTATACATTATGTTTAAGTTCGTATCTTATTGGTCATTTGTGTTCGAAAGTTATAATGTTGCTTTCTATATTACTAAAAACTTTTGATTAGTTTACGTACCGACAGATGGCGCCTCGAGCAACGTTCGGTTTTTCTTATGTAGAGTGTACTATATCTCGTTCGTCATATTTCGTGTTTCTTCGGTCGACGCCATATTGCCTGCAGGAACGTCGTCGAACAGACAGATAGACTTTTTGAAGGAAGAGAAATTAAAGATATTATAGATACAATTAACATTTTTCTTACAATGTTTGGACGACAATTAATCAGAAGATTTACTACGAGTGTTGTACGAAGATCGGATCACGGTGATGAAGGAGGCATACCCGGTTCCGTGAGTAAAATATTTCTTAATAATATTTCATTATTAATAATGTTCGTTCGTTCGTTCGTTCATATGACATAATCAGCTGTTTCTATTATATACAGAATATACCATTTCCCATAAAAAACAAATATGTGACAGTTGCAATATTTTGTGCATTTTGTGGAAGTGGCTTCAGCATACCTTTCCTCATGCTTCGTCGTTCAACATTGAGGTGAGTTACATAAACTATTTCATTATATATCTATAACCTATTTTACTATACATTTATTTGACACATTGGACTATTCTGTGTTCCAACTTCTTCATTAATATTATTTAAGGAAATATTTATAAGTATATTAATGTGATAATAAATTATATTATCGAACTAATAGTGGGATGTACATATATATATTTTAAGAATTATTGTTGGTTATGTTAAGAATTATAATAATAAGCAACGTGTGTGATTGTTAAAACATTTTATGTAATTGATGTCATCTTTTCTTCTTTCAGACCTTAAATATATTTGGCAAATAAAATATACATTAATGATTTACAAACTGAGGATAATGTAAAAAGTAGTAATTGTACGTTGATGTATTATATATATATATATTCATCAATATTAAATTATTATAAATAAACTTTTTGGTCTCTTTGTATTATTATATAAAATAATTGATAAATGTAAAGACCTATTTGTAGTTGTATAATGTATTAGTATGTATGATATATCGACTGAGATAAATTAGTTCAGGTATTTCACAACAGAGGCGTTCTACAATGTACCTAAAAATCGATATATTTTATTAGTCACATTTTCATTTAGAAAGTAGCCTTTAATTATTAACAAAATTATAATAATAATTATTTGATTCAAAATTTCGTGATTATAATAATTCCTATTATCCTTAGATATGAAGTTAATGACTCGCGTAGTGATACCACTGCCGTCATATTAGTTTAGTCTCGATGCAATTTTTTCGCGTTATTTTTTAAACGAATTGGAAAATGCGTTTAATTTAAAAAAAAAAAAAAACTTCGAATGAATAAAATTCGTGTATCGTCGATGAAAAAAAAAGAAAAAACAAACAAATAAAAGTGTCCAATTGAATTCAATTCAATAGAATTTATTTATGTTTGCGTTATCGACGAATGAAAAATCAATTCTAGAACTGGTACCGTTAGATAACGTAGGAAACCTTTTTTTTTCAAAGTACATAAATCCATTTCGTACAATTTGTATTCACGTGAAATCCAAAATAAATGAAAATACGTATCATTGTATATTTTTTATTATTTTTTAGATTGTTATATATTCAATTAATTATACGATTGTTAATAAAATTGTATATATAGGTAAATTGAGGTAAGATAAATAGCGCGGGAAAATGGGAATCTTTTGAAAAAAGAGAAAGAACAGTAAAAAGGTAAAACAAATGTATCATTGAATATTTTTATTATTTTTTAAATCATTATATATTTAATTAATTATACTATTGTTAATAAAATTGTATATATAGGTAAATTGAGGTAAGATAAATAGCGCGGGAAAATGGGAATGTTTTGAACAAAGCAAAAAGACAATGAACATTAAAAAGGTAAAACAAATGTATCATTGAATATTTTTATTATTTTTTAAATCATTATGTATTCAATTAATTATAAGATTGTTAATAAAATTGTATATATAGGTAAATTGAGGTAAGACAAATAGCGCGGGAAAATGGGAATCTTTTGAAAAAAGAGAAAGAACATTCAAAAGGTAAAACAAATGTATCATTGAATATTTTTATTATTTTTTAAATCATTATATATTTAATTAATTATACTATTGTTAATAAAATTGTATATATAGGTAAATTGAGGTAAGATAAATAGCGCGGGAAAATGGGAATTTTTTGAACAAAACAAAAAGAGAATGAACATTAAAAAGGTAAAACAAACGTAGGTATCTTTTTAGTCTTTTTTTCTTTTTTTTTAATTTCAAACGAACAACGTTAAAACGACAATTCATATTTACAAGTCAGAGGAGAGGAAAAACAAGCACAAGCAAGTTCGTATAACAAACATGTATAAAAAAATAATACTGAAATAATGAAAACATAGGAGGAGGGCAGAGGGGGGAGGGGAGGGAGGGAGGGTAGTGGGATCTCTTCTGCAAAAGGTGGTTGCGAGTTATCCAACTTAGGTAAATTTTAGGATTTGAATTTTTATTTGATTTCTTTTTTTATTTTTTATTTCTTTTCTTTTTTTCGTTCATTAAGAGTTAGCGCTCGTTGGAAGAATAAAATTATTTCTTCTTCTCTCTCTCTCTCTTTTATTTTCTATTTTTTATTTTATTTTGTTCCTGTTAGGTACTTTTTCTATTTTCTCTCATTCGTCGGAACTTACCTCGAGGATTTTTCACGTATTAAAGAGTAAAAGAGGCTGCCCGGTGGTGGTTTGTTATTACACATTATTCCAGCATCATTGTCGTCGTCATCATCGTCGTCGTAGTCGTCGTCGTCGTCGTTGTTGAAGGACTTTTACCAGCTCTCTCTCTTTCTCTCTCTCTCTCTCTCTTCATTCATCTTTTACGTGACTACCCAACTAAAGAAAACCGCATGTACGAGTCGAAGAGGTGAACACTTTAACGTGCTTGGATGCTACCAAAAGAGGTAGTAGCAAGGTAGGTAGGTAGGTAGGTAGGTAGGTGGGTTCTTTAATATCGCAACCGTCAACCATCCGAAGAAATGTTTTTTTCTTTTCCTCCCCCATTTCCCATTCTACCCCCCCCCCCCTTTTGATATTTTCTTCTTTTTCTCTCATTCTCGTCTAATTGGGGTAACAACAGACTCATTAGTCGTACCGGTTGAGGAGTTGTGAAAAAGAGGAAAGAGAAAGGAAGAGGAGGCTCGTTTAACGTCGAGTGTGGTGGTTCGTGAAATCTTTTGCATAACGAGCGTCCTCTCTTTTTCTCTTCTCTCTCTTTCTGTGTTTCGTTATTCTTGGCGAGAATAGGGGCGGGCGGCCGGAGAGGGGGAGGGGGTTGTAAGGGGTAAGGGTGTTGGGGAGTCAGGGAAAGAAGGAAAATATAAAGTAAGAAGTGAGGTAATAGAGGGTGCGAGAGAAAACGTTAATGGGCAGACGAGAACAGGAAGAACGTGCAAAGTTACCGAAAAACCAACGAGAGTGGTAAGAGACTCTTACGACATAGTATCGTCGACACCAATTCTTTTTTTTTTTTTTTTCTTAACTCACATCCCTCCCCCATTTCTCATCTCCATTCCCAATTTAGTTTCGAAATGTTTGTTTCATTAGTTTTTCCTCGATTGTTAGTTGCACCCAAAATTTAACACTAAACCTACCTAATCGCAAGATCGAATAATTGCTTATTGTAATTTGTTTGAAAAAAAAAAAGAAGGAAAGATGAAATATCAAATGTATATTACCGCATTAATTTATAAATAAAAGAGATTTATATTTTAATTGGCTGTTAACCCATTGACTGCCAGACATATTTAAAGCAACTTGGCTTAAATTTGTAAAAAATATAATAATATTAAGTTACTGATATAATATTGTGTAATGGTATTTACAATAATTGATAATTAATGTTTTCTACATCATATAAATATTTTATTCAACCTTTTTTAATAATTCTTAACCATTAAATAACCATTTGTAATTAATCTGAAATTGCAGCACACACTACGTACGAGATATCTCGTAGTTGGCAGTCAATGGTTTAAAATATTATTTTCTGTATTAAGATATATGTGTGGTTATTTTTTTTATTTTTTTATTTTTTTAGGGTTTGTTTGACTTCAACTCAAGGTAGGATTAGGGTGTACATGAAGTGTTGGTAGGTCTAGTGTTAAGATAAGTGGGATAAAAGACGTAATATATTTTTTATTCAGATAATAATGTTCCATAAAACATTGTTTATATATATATATTTATTTATTTATTTATTTATTTATATGTAGGACTATGAACAAATATCATTTCTTCGCCTATAGGATTCTAATCTCTTAACTTAAATTGAAAACGCGTGAAAGAAAAACGGACACGAAGCTTTTTGAGTCTCGTTGCGTGACATTTTTAATGCAACGAATTGCATTTCTCGCTTCTTCGATATTATTTTTCATTCTTTATTTATTCTTATTTTTTTTTGTCTTTGTTTGTTTTTTTTTCGCTTTTTTTTTATTTGCTTTTTTTTTTTTTTAGTATACGATACAGTCGACTCGATTTCAATACGGATCAACTCTAATAACTCAGACG